GTCCCCTACTAAAGGCGAATTTTTACAGGACAATTTCTAAACTTATAGATTTAGTTTTTTTTTTTTTCGTTTTTTTTTTCGCTCTCATTAACAAGTTCAGATCCTTTTGCTGTTACTTTTTTTGCTTTTTTCATAGGCTCAAGTTTGCTTTATTTTACTTTTCCGCACCCCAAGCCTGGTGCATTCCAGCTTGCATTTGTCATGCGATTGATGTTATGCTCCAGTGAGTGATATTCGAATTTAGCCACCCTGGGTTTCATGTTAGTAACGGAGGATATAAGCAAACAATAGAGCTGAAGCAACTAAGCTCGACTTACAGCTACATCGCAGTAATAAATGTAGCTTCACAGCTTAACATCGATAATTTGGTTGCCCTAAAAATTCAATTTTGAATGCCTCAAATCTGAGCCTGAAAGCCAGAAACATAAACGGCATTGAACCGTGCATCTGAGCCAGAAACATAAACGGCATTGAACCGTGCATCGGAATTTCTCAGGAATGGGAGCTTTTCACTGGTCTAATCGTCGATGATGCGCCAACGTACTCTGCCAAAGGTACTGAATGGGCTGGAAGTGAACGAAGGCAAGCCGTCGCAAAATTACAGGTTTTTTATGCGTTTTTTGCATAAGTCCAAGCCACGGTTAGAACTTTGAAAGATATGATAAAATTTTGGGTCGAAGGCTGTTTGGTGGTCAAAGGCTTAAAATTGACTTTAACCTCACAGGGTCCTGATGTGGCCAAATAGACCCGGAGCCAAATTATTTTTGTGAAACTTAAGCCAAAAGCTAAAAATCTGGAGCCTCAGGTATTTAGCTTACCTGTTAGGCTGTGGGTTGAAAAGTTCAAGCCAAATTCCAAACCTGACTGTGTGCTAGCTTTCAATTTCGTGTCAAAATGCGACAGGTGCAAAATACTGGGGTTTTAGATGGCAGTGCTAAGAAAATTGAATTATTTCTGAACAGTTTTCTGTTTCCACTGTTATCTCTTTATGAAATTTGTGTCCAGTTTATTTGTCGTAAAAGCGCAGCTTTGTCTTAACCGCTTGGTTTCGACAGTGTTATTTGATTCTTATGCATTTTTATATAAGTAACTGAAAAACCCATTTGAAGCGACCAGTAGAATATGGAGTGCACGTCCGAATAAACTGTACGAAGAAGATATTGACTCCAGACCATGTCTACTTTACCTGAATTTAGGAAGGGAAAAGGGAAGTGAGGAATACAAAGTGCAGTCAAGAGATATAGCTAATTAAGTATATTTCAGTTACTGATATAATTTTCTGTCGAAAATTTATCTCCAGAATTTTATGCAGCTGTGCTTAGATTGTCGTTTTGAGCTCGATTTTCTCCACTCATTTTTGTTGTTTCGCAGAGCTAAATTCAGTAGCCTGTATGTGTCTACAATTCAGAGGTACTTGCCAACATTGTTCAACAGTCTTCGGTTGACTGATCAAGGGCTTTGGAGCGAATTTGCGCGCACAATGAACTGCGAAACAGCATTCCCGCCTGCTGTCGATACAGTTATATCGCCATTCCAAAAGCTGCTTGTAATTCAGGCAGTGCGGCCGGAGAGGCTTTTCTCTGCGATGACGATTTTTATAACTGAAATCTTAGGTTCGTCGTAATTTCCTTAAATGTTCGCATGGTCGTCAAATCTCGTTGTTCTTACGCGTTTTTTTGCATCTATGCAGTGCAATAACGCATACTGCCGAAAAAAAAAACAGTGCATTAGTGACAAAAACCTGTGGGAAAATGGTACAAAAAACACATCTTCACACCGGCAGTCGATCTGATGTCGACTGGGCTTGTGTCTGGTATCAAAGACGATGTGCATTTTTGCACATCAAAGAACAGAATGGTGGTCCTAAATGGCTATACGTTGACTTGCAGGAGTGCATTCAGTCAATCCTTCACCGCTTGATTTGGGAGCGCTTTACAGGGCAGAAAGCAATGAAAATGAGCCAATTTTAATATTTACAAGCCCAGGAGCTGATCCCTCTCAGGTATTCTTCTTAAGCTATCAAAATCTGATTTTAGTTCTGATTTTAAAACGGTGGCTTGTTTTCTAGGCTATCAGTGGGCGACTACCCTCCTCGATGTGCAGCTCCGAAAATCACTATAATAACAGATGCTTTACAATGCACGCGGATATATGACTAGTTGCTATCATGACAACTGGCATACACAGTGACATTTCATTATCTTTCCTTATTCTGCTAGTCTCTCCGGGCTAGTGGCATTTTTACTCCAGAATGACTTCAGGTTTAAAGTTGGACTAGTTTTTTAGGTGATAAGCCAAGAATTAACGGGCGGTTAACTCATCAAAAAACTGTGAGTAATTAGTTTGAAATGTGGACCTAACTTCACTGCATTTTGTTTTATGGGCTTGGGTCAAAGTCTAGGTTTTTTTTTAATGAAAGGAACAAACTTTTATGAGCTGGATCAAACTTAGGAGACAAATTTACTTTAACGTTTCGAGCAAATGGCTTAGAAATTATTCGGCTTTATCCAGATTTAACAAAATTACCGAAGAAGCTAAAATTGGCAATCTTTGGCGTACTTTTCGTCAGCTTGCTTTACAAATATCCTTTACAAGTAACTCTAGCTGATTTAGCTTTACAAATACAGAGCGCTATCTGGAAACTGAAAATTTTTGAACGTTTAGTTTACTGTAAAGCGAAGTGAATGATCCAAAGTCTACTTTCTGCTAGGTTTCTTTTAAATTCGGCTTGATGAGGCAACTGTGAATTTGGAATTTCGTTGCTTGCGAGTGAAATGACTGAAGCTAGTTTTGACATTTTTTTGCCGCATCACTGATTGCACCTTCACAAGCTGGGAACCCACGACAGCTTGCCGCCAAATCGTTATTGCACCAACTGCGTGCTACAAACTGCGATGCATTTTGAATTGAAAGTAAGCGGCATTGAAGGAACTGGAGGAACTGGCAAAGAAGGAAATATCTGGGACAAATTTCTATCAGATTTCGATGGGCCAAGGACAACTACAAGCTGCTATTGAAGCAATTCGCAGTACGGCTGCAAGTGGCGGTTGGGTGTGCTTGAAAAATCTTCATCTTGTCATCGGCGATTTACCTTCTGTTCAAAAAGTACGGAGCTAAGTATTTATCAGCTTGTACTTTGCTGCCTAACATTGGCAGATAGGCGAGTATCAGTTTGGCAAAAACCTTGCATTGTTCACTTTTTTCCTGTATGAGGAATTTCTTGATAAGGTAAAGAGAAATATCCACTCTCCACAGCAAGAGTTTTGCTGTGTCGCAGTATTTACAATGCCTTTTTGCTAAAAAATTGCAAAAAAATTTTCTTCATTTGATTCTTTATGTTTTCAGGAATTTTTTACAGCAAGGCGGCATGCTAATTTTCGACTTTGGCTAACCTCCGAATCGAATGAATCTATCCCGCCGCAGTTGCTACAGGCTTCTTTAAAAGTTACATACGAAGCACCTCCCGGTATCAAAAATAATATGAAGCGATCCTACGCACAGTGGCAACAAACTGGGTTTGCGAAGGGCTCTGTGTGCCTTCAAAGTTTATTTGTGCTAGCTTGGCTCCATGCAGTTTTGCAAGAGCGGCGGATGTTCATACCTCAGGTTTGTTTGCTTTGGGTACTGTACAAAAGCGAGGTGGTGGTGGAGGAAGTTTGAAATAAGGAATGAAAAATTGGTGAGGGAAGTTGATTCTTCCAGGATTTGGTTCTGCTGTTGATTTGAATATCTGTAATAGTGAAACACCAAGCTGCTGTAAAGCGTTTAGATAAATAAAAATTTTGTTGTGCAGCAAACGTTTTCAGGCATGGTCGAAATTTTATGAATTTAATAACAGTGATTTGCGAGTGGCAAAGAAATATGTTGAAGACACTACCAAAGAAGGGAAAGGTACTGCATAAATACGCTTCTATTTTTAGAGCACAACGACTGCTGCAGATTCGGAAATCCTTTAACAGTAGTTGCACTGCTTGCGCAACGATTCCTATTCAGAATTATCGCAAATACAAAGACACATGCTCCCACCTTAGCATTCATAGTCTGAGTTGTATCATCGCCCTTCCTTAGCATAGTCTCATAATCCTAGCAATTGTTCAAAGAAAGATATCCAGGTAACGATTTTTTTTGTGAATTGCAGCAGAAAATAGCGAAAGTTGGCTCGGTAGTAGAAATTTAATTTGTCAGAACTGTATACGAATTTATGCCTATTTCTAGAAATCTTTATTTCCCGCCTTTCATCTGCTATCTGCTCCTTCCCTCTATCCGTGGAAAAAACTGTAAAAAGAAGTGATCTGATTTTCACTGCAACTATCTTCACACAGTTTCACCTGCCCATGTTCGTTCATCACTTGCTGTGCAAGTTCTACTGTCAGTGATTTCATGTATGCTCGGCCTTCTCCTGCAACACTATTACATCAACATTGACTTTCTGAACTGAGGCAGGAGTCTAGGACAGAGGAAGAAATAAGTTCACGCATTTTCATGCGCTAGTCTCCTTTCACCGGTTGCTGGCAAGGATGATGGATATACGCCTGTCCGGCTGGTAGTTAGCTGTGACTTCACGCATTCACTCATCACTTATCACTCTTTGATAGTATTTTCAGTGCATTGAAGTAAACACTTAAATGCTTGCAGCGGCCGAATGGCAGCTACTACGTGGCCTGATGCAGATCGTTGCGTATGGCGGACGGATTGACAACGATTTTGATGTTAACGTCCTTGTCGCCTACTTGGAGCGCTATTTCAATCCCTCCGTTATAGGGCGAAACGGTCCTGAAATCGCACGTGGAATTCCAGTGCCACTTGCAGACAGTATCACGGTAAATTTTTTCTTCCCGTACTTGTATGTGTTAAACTGAGGAACGGAAAAAAGCAGTTTCATAATGCTTTTTTTTTGTGGATAAAGAAGAATGTTGAAGGGCTACCAAAGTAACGTGGATAATCGATGCAGCGATCTGAAAGTAGTGTTACTGTTGGTATCTTTTCACAGGCCAAATGCAGCTGTGACACCTTTTTGGTCCTGCGCAGCATTAATACCTATTGCCTGTTCGAAACATGCCTTCCCTCTCTTCGTAGGCTTGCAAACAGTTGCGTACTTCGCTAATACCATTCACTGACACGCTAGGTTCACTGATTATTAACAAGTCAGTTTTGCTACGGAGCACACCCATTACTGACAGTCATTTTAACAGGATTATACCAGCGTTATTGAAAAAAATATACCTGACAAGGATAATCCGGCACTTTTTGACTTACCTTTAAATATTGGAACGGCACGAGAGATGAATGAATCCAGTGAAGCGATTAGACAAATGCGCAGCATGCAAATTGCTAGCAATACCGACACTTTATTTGACAGGTATGTTTCTTGTTTTGTCAGGCATTAGTCGATCCTTTCTGTGATTTTCGAACATTTTTTATTTTCCATTTTAATGTGCTAAGCACTGTTTTAAGCACGCACGGGGTAATGCATGCACAGAACTAATTTTATCTGCGTGTAAGTAGAAGTGCAGTAGAAGTGCAAAAATTATGTTCGGATTCTTACAGTTAGGATATAGCACTGACGAAATGTCGAATGAGAACTGAAAAGTGAGCCTCTTTAGGGATATGTGGAATAAAGCGCTGAATCCGATCTTATCGCTCTGGAAACGGCTGAATTCGCAAACGACTTTGCACTCTATGAAAATCCCTCAAGCCCAGTACACTGGCGATCTAATTATGGAAATTATTTCTCTTGAATATGTGCATGCTGTCACGCTGGTTAGTACACTGCACAGGTTCTGCTATTCCTAGCTAGTGAGTACGCTATTGCAGTAGGCGCCTCTGCTTAGGCCACCAGTTTGTTTCTCCGTCTCTCGTAAGCAGTAAGACGCCTTTCTGTTTGATAAAGTTTTGTTTTTTTTTTTGTTTTTTTTCCGGCTAATTTTTTTTTTGTTTTTTTTCGGCTAATTTTTGATTATCTGTGAAGCTACCGACCCAAAATCAGTTGCTAAAACCTCTAAATCTCGATGACAGTGTAATTGGGTGGAGTGGAGAAGGGAAAGAAAGAGCGAGGAAGCTGATTTGAGAAAGGTTACAAATTTCAGGTGCAGAAAGTGCACAAGTTCCTTGGTGCAATTAGTCGGTGCTTACGTGGTGTTCAGATTTTCACACCGGAAATCTCAAGTGGTGCGCAAGCATTAATAATGCATCAGGTTAGTTATTTCCTAAGAGAGTTTTTGTTGAAATAATCTTTATTTTTTGCTTCTTTTCACATTTCTACGCCAACTCCCCCCTCAAATGCAGTAGGAGATGTAAAATTGCAGACACCAGAAGAATGGCAAGAAGCCTGGGCAGGCCCATGTGATCCTGTTCAGTATCTGTCAGTCTTAATTTCTAAAGCTAAATCAATCGAAGAACTGTCGCGCACAAATGCGGGCGACAAAATTCTGGCCATCCCAATCAAACTCAGCAACGTTTTTCGGCCTACTGCGATTCTGAACGCACTTCGACAGCTCACCGCAAGGTTATTTTGGCCCTCTTTGTTTCGTTTTTCTCCATGTGTAATTAAATCATTCATCATGTGGGCCCAGGCATATGCTTTTCTGTATGTGAACCCAGATAGTTTAAATCAGAAAACAAAAAAAGCACTGGGTAGCACATCGATTGTTCAGATGATCTAAGCAGCCTTGGAGGAAAGCAGTTATGGAAATATTGACATCCCGGTGCGCGGTGTGCTTGTATGAAGCACTGCTGTTTTCAGGAAAAGAAACGTGACGATGGATGAGCTGAAATTGAGTACTGCATGGAGTGCTGCTTTTCTAAAAAATGAAACCGTAGCGGAACTGTCCGGGATTCATATTCAGGGTGCGCTATTTGAAGGGCACATTGTGGAAGCACAGCAGACGTCGCCTTCTATCACATCGGCTCCGAATTTATGCATTGCTTGGATTCCTGCTGTAAGTGCCCTTGGAAGATTGTAAGTATGCTGTAAATTTCTGACAAGTAAGAAGTCTTTTTGCAGGATGCACCGGATGTATATGAAAGGGACAAATCTATATTTGTACCTCTTTATAATAGACCAGATCGGAGCGAGTTTATTGCTAAAGTGCAAATACCATGTACAAAAAGCTTGGAGCATTGGAAAATTGCTTCGGTTGCATTGTTTCTGTCCAGTCAATAGCCGAATTCAGATTGCACGTTAGTGGGTTTGCACTTATTGCTTTTTACTCTATTGCGCTTATCACGCTGGATTTGGCTTGTTTTTATTTTTATCGAAAAGAAAAACTGAAATTATAACACCTATAAATTTTCGTTCCTTAGTGTTTAGACAATGGTACCCATTACTGAGATCGTTCAGATGATCGGTTTGGTACTTTCAATATTATTGCGACACAGTTATATGCCGAGTGGAACTATCCATGCCTGGCCGTCATTTCCTGTTATTTCCTGATCGCTTTGCTTTCATTTCCCGTTGTTATCAATAAGTATGCTCACCGCTCCCCTAGGCGCAGTTTGAATGGGAGTTTTCCTCCCCATAAGTACCACTCGTCGATACGTTTTGCTGTTCCCCACTAAAGCAAGTAGCGGTCTGCCCAGCGGATTTTATCTTTCGCAATAGTTCACAGTGCAAATCGCTTCACTCATATGGTGGATCTCAATGCATTAATCTGGAGCCCTCCGACGTTTGACACTCTCACATACCTGAAGCACATAAGGCGGAATTTGCGGTACCAAATTATATTTACATTGGAGCTTACCGCCTTGAGATGAAAAATCGGTAAAGACTAACACACAAAGACAACCCTTCAACAGTTTGCGTTTGCGTGTTGAACAGGTGCAAAAAACGCATACAAATTTCATGCTTTCTTTTTTATTATGCCTCCAACAAAAATCAAGACTTTTTCAACTAGACCCGAGCATGAAAGAAATATTTTCTTCCATTCGCTAGGTATTTTTTGTCGAAAACGACAAATGTATGTCTTATTTTTGACGCTAATTTCAGGCATAAATCGTTAGCCGGTGAGATTCAGACAGCAATTCAGTCCAGAAATCGGCGTCATCTGTGTTCAAAACTTCTGGAAAGTTCGATGACGTGCTGGAAAGTTTGGCGTCACAGTGCATCTATGTTTGATCCACATTTGATTTGCAGCTGATCTCTCACACTAAAAATTTTAAGCTGAATAAAGCCCTGAATTATGTGACTTCGCCATCATAAGAAGTTGTCTTTGAAAAGCATTCAGAAAATCAGTTACAACAAAAAACTTTCACAAACGGGCCAAGAATAAACGCTTTGCTCTCAATGGAAGATGAGTTTGAGGTCCGACTCGAACACTGTCTGTGTGAATCAGCTATTTTACAAGGCTTGGCCGTACTGCATCTAAACAGTGTAAATGGATTTCTATGACACACCATGACACAATACCATGACACACATGCGGCAATTTGAAGAAATTTCATGTTTTTTCTCCCGACGCAATATCCACTGCTGCCGAAGTAGGTTTTCGGGGCAGCTTCGGCAACTGTTCCGGCACCAGTGAGGAAAGACCAGGCCTAGCCGGCTTCCAGTGACTGCCTACCGATAATCTGTCCCGGCATCGGTGGTAATTATTCTCAGCCTGGATTAATGTGTTTTAAATCATTATTTTGTGCGTGATTTGTTGTGAACACACTGAGAAGGCACACTTGTGAGAAGACACACTGAGAAGGCACACATTTATTTTTATGCACCATATTGAAATGAGTACATCATGGGTGAATTTCTAAATGTACACGAATTCGTCCCAAGCACAAAAATAGACAAATCCAACTGATGCCAATTTCAGGCTTAAACTGCTAATCGATGGGTTTAGGTCAGCAATCCAGTCCAATAACCAATGTCATTCGTGCCAGAAAATTGCTGGGATTTCCAGCGATGTTGCACATTTTGATCTACCGTCTGATCCACATTTAATTCACAAAAACGCAAAGTGCATAGCAAACAGGCCAAAGCAATAACCGACGTAGCACTGACAAAAAGGACGAGCGCATAACTGTTAAAAAGCATGGCCTCATACATCTGTTTACGAAATGCTTTTTCATAAATCAGCCGAGCTGCGGAATAGGCAGTTGCTAAATCTCGGCTCGACTTGGCCGGTGCCATGTACGTCTTCTGAAAATTTCTTCTCGATGGCAGGTGGACTTACGCCGCGCTGAGTGACGCCCGCTTGAATGTTATGAGTGGAAAGGGGGAAAGGAGGAGGGGAGCTGGCGCGGGTTCTGTTCGGGGGGAGGGGGAGGCTGGAATAGGTGAATTTAAGGAGTACATGGCGTAGCCGCTTTATCAGTTTGCCAGTTCACGTACATTCGGAGGAAAAGAGGAGGGAGGGGGTAGTGGATGGAAAGGAGGAAAATTGCTGCTGTTTTTTGCAGCGAATATCCGGGGGTTGGGAGAGGGCTGAAACGTTGCTCGCTTCCACAGCTCTCTTATAGAGGGGATGGGGAGCGCTCAGATGCAGCATCTGGAGACAGGATAGAGAAGGGCGAGGATACAAGTCAGGAGCTCGAGGCAAGAACTGGAAACAGCAGTAACGGGTAGGAGAAAACAAAGAACTACAAAAAAGGGAGAATTAAAGCAAACCTAGCCGCAAGAATTAAAACGAAATCAGAAAATGTGAAGCTATGAGCAAAAGCAAAAAAAAGTAAAAGCAAAAGAAAAACTCGTTGCCAATATGGAACTTCTTCAATTATGAAACCGATGCTTAGGTAAAATTAAAGACGAACAAGGTAAAGCTGCGTAGATAAAGATGAGCTCAACTTTGCCTAAGCATGAGCTTCACAAACAGGGGAGCTCACTGCTGCAGATGGACTTTATAAAGCAATTCCCACTGCGAAAAATTTTTGCTTTCGCAGGTTTTTATTTGTTTTTTGCATTTGCCTTTTCAGTTTTTATTATGCGTTTTGTGCTGTGTAACAGCAGTACAAAACGCATATTGTTACGGGGCTGTCTGT